CCTCTTTGCTCTTGTTGCTTTGCTATCTTCTCCCTCAGAGCCAGCCAAGTATGGACTGAAACCTCCACAAACTGTGAGCTAAATAAACCTTTCCTTCCTTCATTTTGGGTGTTGGGTATTTTGTCTCAGCAACGAGAAAAAAGTAACCAAGACAGTACTGTAATTTGAAGTCTGGGATTGTGATGCCCCACCTTGCCCTTGTTGCCTGTAACTCATTCTTTCTTTCTTTCTCTTTATCTCTCTCTCTTTCTTTCTCTCTTTCTTTCTTTCTTTCCTTTCTTTCTTTCTTTCTTTCTTTCTTACTTTCTTTCTTTTTGTCTTTCTTTCTTTCTTTCTCTCTTTCTATTGTAGGTCTCTTCTGGTTGTATAAGAGCTTAAGGTTGCTTTCTCTAGTTCTGTTATAAATGTAGGTATTTTGATTGGGATTGCATTAAATCTGAATAACAGTTTTAAAAGTATAGCCATTTTGACTGTCTTAGTTCTAACTATCCAGGAGCAGAGGATCTTTTTATTTTCTCATATCCCATGCAATCTCTTTTTTTTTTTTCAGAGTTTGCAATGAAACTGTGGATTTCATTGTAGAGGTATTTCACTTTATTTGTTAGGTTAACAGTAAAGCATTTCATTTTTCTTGATGCTACTATGAAGGGCATTGTTTCCCTAATTTCTCTCTTGGTGAGTTTCTTATTGGTGTACAGAACACTACTGAGTTTTCTGTGTTGACTTTGTAGCCAACTATGCTACCAATTTTGATTATTAATTCTAAAAGTCTTTTTGTGGAGTTTTTGTGGTCTTCTATGTAGATGATCATATCACTTGCAAAGAATGATTATTATTAATAACTTCCCTATGCATATCCACTCTTGTTTAATTGCACTGGCTAATGTTTTGAGAACTACACTGAACAGGAGTGATGATAGTGAACATCTTTGTCTTGTTCCTGATTTTAGAAGTCTTCAGCTTTTCTCCATTTAGTATATGGTGTTGACCATTAGCTTGTCATAGATGGTTTTATCAATTTGAGATAAAGATCTTCCATACCTATCTTCTTTAGTGTTTTTTCTATGAGTGGATGTTGGATTTTGTCCAACACTTTTCCTACATCTATTGATACGATCATCTGATGTAGGAAATGTCATATCATCTTATTCTGTGGGAATCATTTTCATAGCTGGGCAAAAGCCTCCCATTCTGGGGTTTTGTGTAAGAGTCCATAGTATTTCCATGGGTGGCAGGAGGTTTGCAGATGGTGGAAGTATATTTAGAGATTGAAGGAGGCTGTGAGATAGTTCAAAAATGTTAATGAACTGTAAATACAATTGTAAATTGTACAATTTAGCTTGAAAACAGAAGCGTTTGACAAATTTGGTTTTCATTTGTGAACCCTGCATCAGTTGATGAACACTACCGTGGCCATCTTTCCCAGACAAACATGAACATGGCCTTTTTCCAAATCGTCCAACAAACTAAGTTCCTGAACTGAGATATCACTGTACTAGTTTTGTTTGCAACTTCTAAACCCAATTTGTTAAGGATTCCCCTCCATGCCCTTGAATTGTACAGTGTTATTTATGTTACAGCCCTGATTAATTCTTATTATCTAATGCACTTATACAGGCCCTGTTATACATACGCTGTTAGATGGAGAGAAGGAAACAAAATACAAGGAGGTGAGAAAATAAGGAAGAAAAAGGAATAAAGAGGAATAAAAAATAAAAATTAAGGAGAAAAAACACTAAAAGAGGAAGCAGGTCAGTGAGGAAAACCTTAAAGAATAAAGGAAAATAAAGCAACAATGCCATTAAAAAGCAAGAACAGGAAGAAAAATATTGAAAAAAAAAATAACACACACAAAAAACACAAAAAAACAACAAAGATGACCGATATCAAATAAATAAGGAAACAACTAAAATAGCAAAAATAAAAATAAAATAACCTTCACACAGTTGTGTACCATTAACCCAGAGAATCACACAGCCCCTCTATACTGCACCTAGTCAGTCCGAGTGTGCGCTACCACGGGGTTTCTCCCTGTGCACGGCACCTGCCTGCAGGAAGCAGGGAGGGCTGTGACTCCGTCTGAATCTGCGTCCTGGTTTTAAGCCGTGCTCAGATTATGCAGGTTTCCGTGGGTCCAATTGCCTCAGTTGATTTGGGGGAAAGGAAACGTGTATTTTGCCTGACTCCTGGTTCTCCAGTTCTCCAGGGATTTCTGCCAAGGGCCTCACCACTTCCTCTTCCTTCACTGCATGGTAAATATCATGATCTCTGCTTTGTCTTCCC